CTTACCTACCTACCTACTCTCCCTCTATCCCTCTATCTATCTACCTACCTACCTACCTACCTACCTACCTATTCTCTCTGTCCCTACCTACCTACTGTATTTTTCTCTCTATCCCTCTATCTACCTACTCTCTCTCTCCCTATCTACCTACTGTATTTCTCTCTCTCTATCCCTCTACCTACCTACCTACCTGCCTACCTACCTACCTACCTATCTACCCTCTCTCCCTTCTTCCCTACCTATTGTATTTCTCTCTCTATCCCTCTATCTACCTACCTACCAATTCTCTCTCTCCCTACCTTTCTAAAGTATTTCTCTCACGACCTACCTACCTACCTACCTACCTACCTACCTACCTACCTAACTAACTAACTAACTAACTAACTAACTAACTAACTAACTACTCTCTCTACCTACTTAGCTACTGTTTTTCTCTCTATCCCTTTATCTACCTACATACCTACCTACCTACTCTCTCTCTCCCTACCTACCTACTGCATTTCTCTCTCTCTCTCTACCTACCTACCTATTCTCTCTCCCTATCTTCCTACTGTATTTCTCTCTCTCCCCCTACCTACCTACTATATTTATCTCTCTCCCCCTCCATCTACCTACCTACCTACTTACCTACCTACTCTTTCCCTCTCCCTACCTTCCTACTGTATTTCTCTCTCTCTCTCCCTCTATCTACCTACCTACTCTCTCCCTCCCTACCTACTGTATTTCTCTCTCTCTCTCTCTATCCCTCTATCTACCTACCTACTCTCTCTCTCCCTACCTATCTACTGTATTTCTCTCTCTCTCTCTCCACCTACCTACCATTTCTCTCTCTCTCCCTACCTTCCTACTGTATTTCTCTCTCTCATGACCTACCTATCTACTCTCTCTACCTACCTACCTACCCACCCACCCATCTACCTACCTACCTACTGTATTTATCTCTCTCTGTCTGTCTGTCTACCTACCTACCTACCTACCTACCTACCTACCTACCTACCTACCTACCTACCTACC